AAAACTTTTGAAAGAAAATATGGGAAAAAATCTTTTTAAAAATTTTTTTTATTTATGTTTAGAGAGAGGGGACTGGAGGGAGAAAGAGAGGAAGAGAAACATCAATGTGTGAGAAAAACATCAATGGGTTGTCTCTCACACAACCCCAACTGGGGACCTGGCCTGCAACCCGGCCATGTGCCCTGACTGGGAACCTAACCTGCGACCTTTCGCCTTGTGGAAAGACACCCAACCCACTGAGCCACTCCAGTCAGGGCTGGGAGACAATTTTTTGACCTTGGGTTAGACAAAGATTTTAGATGGGACAGAAAAAAAAACCATAAAAGCAAAAAATTGATAAATTAGACTTCATTAAATTTTTAAATAGTCTATTCTCTGCAAGACACTGTTAAAATGAAAAATCAATCCACAGATGAGGAAATATTTGCTAAAGATATTGATAATGGACTTACACCTAGAATATATGAAGAACTCAAATAACATTAATAAAAAGATAAAAAAGCCCAATACACGTGCAAAGGACACTCATTTAACCAAGTAAGATCTACTGAATAAAATTAAAGACTGACAATAGCAACTACTAGTGAGGATGCTAAGCAACTGAAACTCTCATACACTGCTGGTAAGAAGGGAAAGTGGCACAGTCATTTTGGAAGAGTTTGGCAGTTTCTTATAAAGTTAAACATACTTATACAACCTAGCAATCCCACTCCTAGGTAATCATTCAAGAGCAATGAATTTGAGTGTTCAAAGTTGGTTTATTCATAATAGCCCAAAACTGAAAACAGCCCAAATGTTAACCTGCGGAACAAATGAACAAACTCTGATGATACACTTGGCCCTCTGTATCAGTGGGTTCCGCATGTGCAGACCCAAACAACCCCAGATCAAAGACTTGCAGGAGGAGCAAACAGTTGTTGACGATATGCACTGTGTGCTTAGGCCAAGGCTGGGTGTGTCTGCACTGAAGAGGCACAGACTTTTTTTTCCTGTTACTGTTCCCTAAACAATACAGTGTAACAACGACCTACACAGCACTTACATGGTGCTAGGTATTATAAGTATGCATGTGTTAATCGACTATATTTTCACTATGGCTTCTAGTCAACAGTAGGCTATTAGCAGTTAAGTTTTTGAGGAATCAGAAGTTCTATGTGGATATGAATGAGCAAGGGGATGGGCGCCCCTAACCCTGGTGGTGTTCAAGGGTCAACTATAATTTTAACATTCCTTAAATCTATCACCAGTTTTCTCCCATTTTTCTCACTTGCATATACTTTTTCAGAATGTTAAATACAATAGTAAGTCATTCCATCTCTGCTACTTTTTAGCTAAGTAAATTTAAACAAGTCATTTAGTCTCTCTGGGCCTTAGCTTCTTCATGAGTAAAATAGGACAGGGCAACAGATTATCTAACAGGAGCGAATGTATTATAATCAAATGGGGAAAAAAATTATACACACATACCCACAATCACATACATATACACTCGAGAAGAACAGGAGCTCATGGAGTGGTCCACTCACTCACTCACTGTCTCCCCTCCCTTTCAATCACGACCCTAAATCAACTTTCACAAGCTTAGGTCAGGAGGCTTCTCAAACATACTGATTTCTGTGACTAACCAGTGGCTATCCCTCAAACATTAAAAGAAATAAAACCCTTAGCAGTACAGACCTATCTTCTGATGAAAGCAGTAAATTCCCATCCCCCAAATCTGAAAGATTCCCTTCCATTGTTTTATAAGATAGAAGCAAGCATCAGCAACTCAAACACATCAGAAGCGGCAGGGGCAGAGTGAATTTTTCTGCCTTGTCTCCTCCATTAGCCTGTAAGCTCCAGGGCAGGAGAGACCTCATCTTCCTTGTTCACTACTGTATGCCCAGAGCCTGGCAAACACAAGGTACTCAAGAAGAAGAAAAGTCTAAGGGGATGCCTATAAAATGCCATGTTCCTTTTGAGATGACAGCTTTTCCCTGGCAGGGTAAACTCATCTGCTTAATAAATAAACCAATGCTCATATAACCAGTAAGTAATTTACTACTTACCAAGTACACAAAGCTGAGCAAGGCACTTGTCCCTCCCTGTCCTCAAGATGCTCTAAATCTAAAAGGAAGGCAATGCAAGAAGCTCCTTTACTTCCAAACAAATTAAGATTACAAACAGTCTGTCACCAGAGATGAGATGCAAATAGTAACCACATGAAAAAAATCTTCAATATCATTAGGCATTAAAGAAATACAAATTCAAACCACAGTGAAATACCACTACACAGCCACTAAAATGACTGAAATTAAAGACTAACATATCAAGTGTTGCCAAAAAACTAGAGCAATTAGAAATCTCTATCTGAAATTAGTGATACTGTACATCAACTGTAATTGAAAAATAAAGTATTTAAAAGAAATCTCATATTGTTGAGAATACAAATTAGTACAGTCACTTCAGCAAACAATTTGGCAATTACTTTTAAAATTAAAGACTTGACCATAAACTCAGAAATCCAATTTCATTATATTTAATCAAGAGAAATGTAATTGTTATGATCACCCAAAGTCTGCACAAGTATTCATAGCAGCTTTACTTATAATAGCCAAAACCAGCTAACTCAAATGTCCATCACTTGATAAACAAACTGTGGTACATGCATACAACAGAATACAACTCAGCACCAAAGATGAAGAAACTATTGTTAACGTAAGTGAACTTCAAAGCATTATGAGAGAACCCAATCACAAAAGACTGTTCTGTATGGTTTCATGTATATGGCATTCTACAAAAGACAAAACTATAATGACAAGAAACAGATCAGTAATTGCCAGGGCTGGAGGAAGAAGGGGACTAGAAGGAAAGAGGCACAAGGAAATTTTATGGGGCCATATTATATGTGTGGTGAAGACTACATGATTATATGTCTGTCAAAACTCAAAAACTATATACAAAAAGGGCGAACTTTATGTAAACTATATCTCAATATATCTAATTAAATAGCAATCTACCACAATAAGGAATAACTACCTAGTGATTAGCGCTAAATCAGTGCACTGAGCAATGAAAAAATTTTTAGTCTTTTCTGTACACGCATGTGTTCTCAAGACCAAAACGGACAGGAAGAGGTTATGAAGCCTGCAGACCCGACATATGAACATGCTACCAGGCATCTCTAATAATCTCCTCACGTGTCACTGGAGATACCTTAGACTGGCCAGGGGTGTCCAACCTTTTGGTGTCTCTGGGCCGCAGTGGAAGAGTTGTCTTGGGCCACACATTAAATACACTGCGACATGTAATCACAAACAAAACTCATAACGTTTTAAGTGAATGTACGAGTTCGAGTTGGACCGCATCCGCAGCCATCCTGGGCCCCACGCAGCCCGCGGGCCGCAGGCTGGATGCCAGCCGGACGCCCTGCCAGCTCAGACCCTTTCATCAATGGACTGTGCAACTGGAGCACTGCTTGCAGGTATTGACAAAGTTCCAGCAGTCGAACTTTAACTACTTTAGCCTCCTCCCAAACGTCTCCCATCCTTCGCTGCAAACTTGTTTTCCCATTTCATTCATTTATTCTGTCATTTGCTGATTATTACTGACTAAATAAAAACAGGACTTTTGGATCTCTGTCCTTCAGAATAATTCATCCTGTTCCAAGCCATCATTTTCTTACTCCTTACAATTTTTTAAATCTCTCATTTCAACCACAATTAAATGCTGGCACTGTCAATACTAAGTACTGTTACACCTGTTCAAATGATAGCTTTAACTACAAACTAAGGTCACAGTAAACACAGAGAACTTAAAAATGACGAGAATGGTTGACTGTGAAATGACCATAAAGAAACAAATGAAAAGACCATCTGCTGGTGGGATTAACCCACGTATGTTCTGGGGTGTAGCTTTGCTCCTATCTCAGAGTTCATCCTAAAGAGAAAATCTGTCAGTGGAGGAGCTGATGCAGTACATACAAGGTACTGTGCAATAAATGCCAAAGCTGCAGGAAGAGGAAGGGGTCACATTTTCCTAGAGCAAATATGGTGAGACACTGTGCAAGAGGGAATCTAGGCTAAGCCTTTAAAGACTTACATTTAAGAGAACAAGATGACTAGATTGGAAGAATTTGATTTATGCTAGAGAATAAATACCATATATATGCAGTCTATGGAGGGACTTGACTATCAGGCTGAGGAGTCTAGATTTGATTCAGCTAATTCAGTGGTAGTGAGAGGCGCTAAAAGTTTCTCAGTAGAAAGAGGACATAATGAAAGATATTTGGAGAGACTGTTATGGCTGTAGTGTGCACAAAGTACCCGGACAAGAAGTGACCAATCACAAGTTTGCCGAGCTACAGTGAGCTACAGTCAGCAAATACCATCTGTTACCCGGGACAGAAAGAAACATCACCCCACCCCCTTCTCTATTCACAACACTTCTAAGGCCAAAAGAAATCTCAGAATCCTCTACCTAACACTCCAATCAATCAGAATTAGCATATGAGGTAAAACCTGTTTGCCATCTAGGTTCAGGATCAGAATAGAATACTCAGAGAGGAAAGAAAAGGAACACCTGGTAGAAACCCTACAGAGTTACTTTATTTTTTTTATTGTTGTTGTTACAGTTGTCCCAATTTTCCCGTGTGGCTCTCCCCTGCCCCACCCCCCAACAATCAATCCCCACCCTATTGTCTTGTCCAAGGGTCATTTATACTTGTTCTTTACCTAGACTCTTGCCTCCCTTATCCACCTCTCCCTTCTCTCTGGTTCCTGTCCGTTTGTTCCTTGTTTCCAAAAAACATGGCACACGCCCTGGCTAGTATAGCTTAGTAGACTGAGTGCCGGCAGCAGATGGAAAGGTCATGGGTTTGGTTCCCAGTCAGGACACATGCCTGGGTTGCAGAGTTCAATCCCTGTCTGGGGTACATGCAACCGATTGATGTTTATCTCCTGCTCTTTCTCTCTCCCTTCCTGCCTCTCTAAAATACATAAATAAAATCCTCATAAATTTTTTTTTGAGTGGAACTCTTCAAGAATTTGAGGGTCACCCCTGTGCAGGGGCCATGGTAATTTTCTCTGTATCATTCCAATGTTAGTGTATGTGCTGCTGGAGTGAGCACAAGTTACTTCATTTTTAAAAATACTTATACGTCCATTTGAAATATATGTGACAGAAAACAAAAGAGCAAGAACAAAACAAAACAAAAAAAAAGAAACCCAGTAAAGTGGAGCCTTTGCTAATTGAAACATTTAAAAAATGATTTTTTTTCCTGGATACGTGAATTTTTTCTTAGATTACTGAATAGACATCACATTCTGAAAAACAAGTCAAATAATATTAGGGGAAAAAAGGGAACAAGATTCTGAAGCCAGCTTTGCAGCCAATGATGGGAGAACATTGACAAATAACCTCTGTGGCCTTACTTTCCTCACCTGTAGAGAATGAGAACTAAAAATTACCAGAGCCACTCCCAACTCCACATCTGTACAATTCTAAACTACTAAGGGTCTGCTATATGCTAAGAGTGGAATGTAATAAAAATGTAATGTCTCACTTTTGAAGAAAGGTATTCTTTTCTTCTTTTAATAGATACAGAAACTAAGCCTGAGAGTGAGTGGCATACCCATTCATTCACTCAAACACGTGACTCAGCGCCAAGCCTGTTCAGGAGACTGGGATACAGTAGTGATAAAAATCAAGTTCCTACTGCACTGAGTTAAATATTTTTAAAATTTTTATTTACTGATTTCAGAGAGAGGGAGGAAGAGACATAGAGACACACAGTGAGAAACACTGACTTGGTGTTCCACTTAGTTATGCATTCATTGGTTGATCCTTGCATGTGCCCTGACCAGGGACCAAACCCTCCATCTTGGCACATTGGGACAATGCTCCAACCAACTCGGCTATCCGGTCAGGGCTCACAGACTTAAATTTTATTTACCAAGGGGTGAACCTTCATTCTAGCCTAGACTGGGGTTGCCAGATAAAATAAAGGACACCTAGTTAAATTTGAATTTCACATAAATAATTTTGTCCCATGCAATGTGAGACACCTTTATACTAAAAATTAGTAATTGTTTATCAGAAACTCAAGTTTAACTAGACATCCTTTATCTTTCTTTGCTAAATCTGGCAACCCAGACCTAGACACAACTGCAAAAAGCCTTCCTCCACCCTGATACTGCATCTAAGTACATCTACATAGTGACTTTGGCTACATCAATGAAAAGTTACTTTATATTGCAACACAGTATAACACAAAGCTAAACAGAAGTTCTTTAAAACAATTTTTAAGCCTTTAACAATGCAATGCATTTTAACATCTTCCATTCTTTTTCATTTTTTCAAAAAATGCTTCTCATGACCCACTAGAGTGGTTTTACAATCTACTAAGGGGTCATGACCTGCGGTTTAAAAAAATGCTTGAGAGGTATGAAAAACAAGTTAACCTTGTCTTATGAGTCACCCTTACAAGCACACCAAGTAACTACATTGTGCTATAAAGCAATAATGTCTCTGGGGCCTATTGCGGCGGAGTAGAGCTAAAAACATAGTCAGCCAGGATGGTCTCCAGTCATGCCTCACATAACAATGTATCATTCTATGATGGACCACACATATGACAGTGGAGCTGTAAGATGATAATGGAGCGGAAAAATTCCTACCACCTACTGTAATGCATTACTCACGTGTCTGTGTTGATGCTGGTGTAAACAAACCTACTGCACTGCCAGGCGTATCAAAGTATAGCACATACAATCACAGTAGTAGGCTATACCATCTAGATTTGTGTAGGTACACTCTTAATTTTGCCTAATGACACATTCCTCAGACCGTATCCTCATCGATAAGCAGCTCATGGCGACTTTTTGAGCTTGTGTGTCCCTTTTTTATAATTCTCCCATCTCTTAACTATCTATCATACCATTATTTCTAATGGCTGTCAATATGTTTCCCTATAAAAGTTTTACCTTTCTACTGGCCGGCAACCTGTAAATCAGAAAAGCAAACTACATAGAATCACGTGCAAAGTAAAAGCAAATAAACTCTGAAAGACGCCCTGAAGAGTTTCCCTTTTGGAAATCTGCAAAGACTTTATATCTTTTCTGTACCTGATTTTCAAGTGTGTTCAGGAATAGTTAACTACACAAGGTCCACAAAAACATGTTTATGACCCCCAAGAGAAAAATGCATGATTTGGTTCAAAACCAGCCTTTTCTTTTTTAAAACTAAAACTATAATCAAGATTAATCTTGACTACTTACAAAGATTACTGCTAAGAATATTTGTTAACATGTTTCATTAAAAGCAGTACAAACAAAAACTGGCCATCACGAATATTGACAACACTATTAGAAAAATCCTCTCAAGGTAGTATTTACAAGAGGGCAACATTCTAAAGGTCTGATACACTTGATAATAAGTCACACTCATTTATAATCACCTTGCAGACAAGCCTCATACCACAAACCAATGAGAGTTACAAAGACTCCATTATAGAATGCCATTTATCCAGTCCCCAAAATGCAGTTAGCTATTAATCATGCCATGAAATTGATATTTTATAGCCACTTGACTCAACTTCAAGGCTTAAAGTATAAGCAATCTACATAAGAATTTTTAAAGGAAATTTCAAATTTTCATATGCATACAACTGGAAATAATATTCAGCAGATAAAACCTAAGGTTGATAATGGGTGTGGCACATTTTCATAAACCACCCAGATCCATGACAATACTAAACCATTAAGAATAACAAAACCAAAGGGTTAACATTTAAGTAGACTTCATGCCACACATGTACAAAATTACCTATTTTTTTTTAAAGGGATCTAAACTTCCTATTTTAGCAAGCCAAATTCAAGGTTACAAAAAGATACCCTGAAGGGTGAGGACCATCTGTGGTTGTATAATCTTTAAAATGCACAACATGATTTTGTTTATGTCTATGTCTACATTTATATAAAAGGAGGATGTCATAAATTCTACAAATATGTTACACCGAGTAAGTTCCCTAACCTCTCAAAACTTCGGGTTTTTCCCTTTCTATTGTAAAATGAGATTTTCTGTTATTTCTTCATGCTCTAAAATGCTACAGTTTTAGGGGAAAAGCAAATATTTAAAAAGATGATATACACTGTTGAATCCAAAACACTATGTACCATATGATGTCATTTTGTTTAACATACGTATGTATTATGTATATGTTCACAAAGAGTCTGAAAGGTGTACACCAAATTTCTAACAGTGGTTCTCTCGAAGGAAAGATTGTGGGCAATTTTAATTTAATAGGAATTTGAGCTTTTTTTTGCTTTGATTCTCTGCTTTCTTATTTTTCTACAATAAGCATTTAAAACTGTTTCAAATTACAAGACAGGACTTCCAAATATAAACAACATAGTACTCATTCAAAGGCTGTCTCAATTTATTAGTTTCAAGAATAAATCTGTTCTGGACACTGGTTCAAGTACAACTCTTTTCTCTATTATAGCAGCTTAAAGATCAGGAACCACATTCTATACTTGACTGAAAGCTCTAAATCTTATGTATATGTAATATATATTAAATAAAATATTGAATTGATGTTTTAAGTAACAGGAAAGTAGTTTACAACACAACTGCCTAAAAAATTACAGCTGTGCTTCATTTGGCGAGCACCTTCATGCAGAATAATACTGTTCTACATAGAATGTTCATCTTCAAAAGCAGAAGAAATTCTTTTTGCATAGGGAAATACACTTTAAGAGTATCAAAAACATTAAAATATAGCTCAACCTATTTCCAATCATAAGTAATGCTGTAAAGGTTATGGGTTCAAAAGTGTCTACATTACAAATTCCAGATTTAAATGGTAAAATCTTTCAAAGGCTTTACACCAGCTTCCATTCACTGATAGGTACATTTTCTGATAAAAACATCCCTTTTCTTGAAGTCTCTCTAACATCTAAGGAGGCATAAAGACCTAAAGAGGAAAGAGCACTCTACTTTTACTTCAGTTTACTTTAGTTAACTTTTAGTTATAAAGACCACTGTATCAACCTCTTAAAATATTGCTACAGTAACAGTCATAAATGACCCAAATATACTTTTTTAAAAAAAAGTGCCTTCACTTAAAAAGACATAGTAGCAGGTAGGCCTGTTAATAAACTCTGTATAGCCACTGAAGTTGTCACAATCATTTGAAATGGCTACAAAAAGAGGGTTTTGTTCTGCTCAACATTTTATACAGTATCAAAGTACTGTTACTATCTAGTCAAAATAGAAAATTGCAGTTCAGAAAATAGGAAAAAGAATTTCTAAAAACTCATAACCCATTTCAAGGTATAAAAACACTTCGCTATGATGAATGTAAGTTCTAAACAGCTGTAGCTATTTAAGACTAAAAAAATCAGATCCTCCTTTAAGTCAAAACATATGGCTATTAAATAGCTATGATATGAGTTAACATCCCTTGTGTAAAATTGTGACTGTCTCTCTAATTAGAGAAACACAGAAAATACAAGTTTACATTTAACAAAAAAAAAAAAAAAAAGGAACACCATGACAGATACCATTAATGTTTTGACTTTTAAGAAGCAAATCTTTAAGCAACTAGAGAATTTTTGATAAGCAATATGAAGCAGGTTTTTGCCCAATCTTAAAAAGTGCGTTTTCTAGCCCTGGCTGGTGTGGCTCAGCTGACTGAGCGCTAGCCTGTAAACCAAAAGGTTGCTGGTTCGGTTCCCAGTCAGAGCACACGATTGCGTTGAGGGCTGGGTCTCTGGTCAGAGGCCTGAGAGGCAACCTATCAATGTCTCTCTCTCACACTGATGTTTCTCTTTCTCCCTCCTTTCCCCTCTCTAAATAAAAAAAAAAATTTTATTCATATTTTTCTCTAGATACTTGGAATGAAAAATTAAACTAATAAGCCCAGGAGAAAAACAAAACTGTGCTTTTAACAGACAATCATAGCTTGCCTCTAATGACCCAAATGCCAATTAACTTTTTCGGTTCAACTTCAAATTTGTTTATCATCAATGCCCACATTTAAAAAAGTGAAATTAATAAAAGGTGATGCAGTTTAAACCTTATAAATTACAAATGGGGCAATGTGACCAGTTGATCTAGATAAAAAGCAAATGACTACCCTACCTCCTTCAAAACTTTCCTCGAATGTTACCTTCTTAATGAGGCCTCCCCTAGTCCATTTTAAATTGCAACCCACTCTTCCCCCAACCTCCCATATTATACCCTTAATATGCTCCCCTCTAATCTCCCTTTATCCAGTACATACAGTTTGCTAATTTAATGACATGTTTATGGCCTGGTTCATCACATTAGAATGTAAACACTAAGGGAGCAGCTATCTTTTATTCATTGATATAGCCCAAGCACCTATAACTGCCTTACACATATATTTTCAATAAATTTATGTGTTGAATAAATGTAGATGATTTTAGGCTCTTCTAAAGGCATTTAATTTAAACATCTCACTATATTTAAATGGAAGCACAATGAACAATGACACTAAATTGGAGCATGATTTCTAAGTTGCAAGGCCTTCAGAGAAAGCAGCAGTAAAAGCACTAAGCTGAAAATTACTAAAAGTTTTTACTCACCCTTAATCCCATTAAATAAATTCTAATGTTACAGTATTTAGAATTGAGACTATGGTTAAAGGTTGTAAACCCCTTTTTTTTAAATGGGGAAAAGGAAAAGACATGGGTTATTAACTAGTGATAATTCCCAACAGTGCCATGAAACTACATAAGAGTTACCAAAAATAAACTGGTCATAGGGTAGCAGCTAATAAAAAATACTTTGATGAATGAAGTTAACAAAAACAACGAATCACCAAAAAGCTTTACAACAAGTTTCTCAGGACTTTCATTCTTCTACTTAGTAGAAATATCGACAAATAGATAAGAAACCACGTTTCCTTATTAATACTAAGAGTCACATTTTTTCAATGCAGCTTCGCACATATCATTTCTTTAAATCCTCAGAGAAACCAAATTCAAACTCAAATATAATCAGGTAACTAACAAAAGCAATAATGTATGCACTTGTTGACGGTAAGGGTAACTTTTCCCTTGAAAACCCCTCACTGTGTCTGACTAGCTACAAAGAAACCATTCTATAAAAGAGCCACCCTCTTGACGCTGGAAACTTTACTACAGGGCGCAGCTAGCAAGTCATGAAAATCTTCAAGCCCTTTGACCTAGTAAAACCACTCCTGGGAACTTTCTCTAAGGAAATAATTAGACTGAACCAGAGAGCTATTAGTATAAAGATGTTTATTGCACCATTATCTGTAATAGCAAAAGTGTGGAAACCCAATTCCCAACAATAGAACAGTTAAGAAACCTTAAAAAAACATTGAGGAAAGAAAAAGCTGAACACAAAATAACAAACAGTCACTAAAACTACATAAAAATAAAAAGGTAAAAAGACAAAATAAGGATTGGATTAAAGGTAAAATTATGTTCAAACTTTAATACTGTGGTTACATTGTTCTAAGAGGAAAAAAAGCCACCTTCTGAAACATATGTAACAAAGTCAGAATTTTTGAAAGCCATTCAAATAAACTTTTCACCCCCCCCCCCAAAAACCCAAAAGTCAAAAAGGAAGAAATGCTGTGTTGTATTCTTTAAAGCAGACGTAATTTCTAGACTCTGAAGAACATTTTCCCAACTCTAAGCACATCCAACCCAATGCTGCATTTGCTTTCCTCACCCTTGGTCCCAGAAACCTTCTTAACTGCTGATACCCTCGAATCCAAGTGAGGACTCCAGAAAGTGTAACTGTTTTATAAAGAACCCAGAACAGTGCTTCAGAACTGAAAGAATTCTACAAGTACATTAACTAAAGATCTGCACAAGAATAAAATTTCACATTACATGAATCCATTAAACAAAACCATGTTATTTATCAGAAAGAGTAAGGCTACAATTTATGCCTTGAGAACTTAAAAGTCTACAGAGAGCCAATGCAACTTAAAAGCCTTAGTTTTAATTCTTATTTGAACGAGTTGACTATATCTGATAGATTTCTATCTGACTGATACCTAAGAAGGGGAAAAAAATAAATCTTTTTCTAGAAAAATTATATTTAAACTTTTTTCCATTCTTCTCTATGGATGACACTGAGAAAGGGAAAGAAGTTACAGAATGCTAAGTGGATGAGCCGGGAAAGGAGGCACTTCGTTTAAATCAGTTTAGCAGGATATAGCCTTTTGTAGGTTTTCCCAGAAGGGGAAACTGTCGGGGGTCCGGGAGGGGCGGTGGAGAAGTCAAAAAGCCCAACGTCCTCCCCCCCCCCCGCCCCCCGACGGAGGGCAGCAGCATTATTACAGGGCTTCACAACCAGTTCCGTTTCATCTTGATGGGTAACTTCTGCCATAAATAAAAATTCTTTGGAAACGGATTGCTGAAAACCTGTATTCAAAAGGAAGTGAATGAAGAAAAAAAAGTCCCCTTCTCCCACCTTCTAAGGCCCGGGACGCCCGCCTTCTGGAAAGGGACCCCGGCCACCAGCCCGCCGCCGCCGCCGCCTGGGCGCAGGGCGGCTGGGCACCGCCGGCGCGCCCGAGGGCCCGGGCGCGGGGGACGGCCCTGCGTGCCCTTGGTGCGCGCTGGCGGCACTCCCCAAGTTAAGGACACTGGCCACAAAGGAATGGAGTCTATTGACATTTGCCGCCCCGTCTGACCACGAAGCATTCTCCTGGTTCGTGAAACACGAACTGACCCCCCCCCGCGCCGCCACACACACACACACACACACACACACACACACACACCCCTCCAGGGTCAGCCCCGGTTACCGGAGACAGCACGGAGCCCCCGGTCTCCACCACAAACCCGGGTGCTGGGGGTGAGGGGGAGGCCCGCAAGTAAACACCCGCCTTTCTGCCTTCAGGAACCCCGCCAGGTCCCCTGCTGTCACCCCTCTCCCCTCCAAGTCTCCAAACTTGGGGCGGGGGTTGCGGGGACACGCTCAGCCCCCCGGCCGGCCCTCGCCCACCGCCCCCCACCGGCGCCTTCTCTCCGCGGCCCCGGCACAGCACTGCGGCTCGGCCACCACCCGCGCAGGAGGCCTTGCGGGGGAAGCAGGCGGCCGGGCGGGGGCCGGGTCCTGCGCACCCCCTCAGGTGGGGGAAGGCGGAGCGCTGCGAGGCTGCGAGGCCCCCGCCGCCGCCTCACCTTTAAAGGCAGAGGGGTGCAGCGGCCACTGCCCACCCGCCTCACCCCTGGGCTCCTCCGCAGGGCAGGGAGGGGGGCGGCTAAGGACACTGGACGGACCCCGCGGATTCCAGATGTGCCCCGGGGCTGCCCTGCTCCCTGCGAGGGAGGGGCGCTGCCCTAACTCCCCCTCCCTCGTTAATCGCCGCTGGGGGAGTCGGCAAGTTTCTGGAGACGGGGCCAAGACTTCAAGACCCTTCCACGTTAACATTTAAACCGAGGGTGGGGGGCGCTGCCCAAGCATCCCCCCCATTTGGGGCGGAGGAGGCATAAAGAAGGTGGAATAGGGGCTGACAATTGCCCAGACCTGTGAACCGCTCCCAAACACTTAAATGGAGAGGGGGAGGCTGCCCAGTCCTTCCATCTTGACCGTTTGGGGGAGGGGGTGGGGTGTTGCAGAAGGCTGGACACGGCCTGACATTCCCAGAGGAAGCCCGCGGCACCTCCCACCCAACCCCCCGGGCTCCAGACCGGAGCGAGGAGCCCCACCCCCACTGCGGGCCCCCGGCCCACCGCGCACCCCACCCCCCCAACTCGGCCGGTCACGGGGCGGGGACGGCGGTGCGGGACGCGGGGGAGGGGATGCAAGGCCCGGGCTGGGCCCGACCCGGAGCGAAGGGGGCTGGGGCGCGACACCCACCTGCCCAGGCCCGGCCGCCCGCCGCCAGCGCTCGCCGCCACCGAGGAGGATGAAGCCGCGGCCGAAGACGACGAGACTGAAGGCGATGACGGCGCGGCGGCGGGCGACGTGAGAAGGCCGCCGCCGCCGCCGCCACCGGGCTTGCGGGCATTGGCGACCGCGGGTGGTTGCTGCTGCTGCTGCTGCTGCTGCTGGGGCTTCAGCGACATGGTGAGGGGCCCATACACCGGCCCGCACGCCGGGCGGGGACAGCCGGGAGCCGGGCGCGCCGAGGAGACGCCGGAGCGCGGCGGGGACGCGCGGGCGCCGAACGGGGAGGCGCGGGTTAGCGCGGCCGGGGGGGCGCCCGGGCCAGCGAGGGGGAGAAGGAGAACGACGAATGGGCGGGGAGGCCCGCCGAATCCGAGGAGCTGCCGGGAGCCGGGCCGGGACGCGCCGCCGCCGTTGCCGTTGCTACCAAAACAGTCTGAGGCGGAGGGAGGTGAGCGCTGCCCAGAGGGAGGGGGGCCGGGGCCGGGCGGAGGAGGGGCGGCGGAGGGATACGGGTCCGGAGCTGCGATGCCGCCGCCCCGCCGCTCCGGCCGCGGGAGCGAGCGCCGTCCGGGCCACCTTGCCGCAGGTAAGCGGCGAGGCTCGATGGCCGCTGCAGGGCCCCGAGGATCTGCGGCCGCCGAGCGCATCGGGGGCCGGGCACAGAGAGGCTCCCCGTAGCGTCGCTGGGTGGGCGCGGAGGTGCGGGATGGGAACTCTTTACCGGAAGTCGGAAGGGTCGGACGGAAGCAGAACGTGAGGCGGCCCCACGGACGGGAGGGACACGTGAGGAGCGGGCGCCGCGCTGGGCCGCGTCCGCGGGGGTCGGGCGAGGGCCCGGCGGCCGGCCCTGCCCAGATCCGCCCTCGTCGAGGCGGGTCTGCCCTTTGGAGAGGGCGTGTCTGTCTTTGCCTGCGGGGCCGGCCTAGTATAGAGGACTGGAGGGAAGCGTCTTCCCCGCCCCCCAATATTCCTTCAACGTCCTCAGACTGCTAAGAGAACCCGAGATTGCCCCCACCTGATGCAACCTAAAAAAAGGACTGCAAATGCCGTCAGGGCGGACATTATGTCTTGCTACGTGGAAAGCACCTTGAACACAAGCATCTCATCGTTGTCTTTGTATCCCCAGCACCTGGCACACAGTAGGCTCTCTCAGTGTCACTTGGTGTCTCAAAGACAGGCCGTCCTCTCTTTCCCTGCCAAGACAAATGATTGGAGTCACGCAGCCTCCCGGGGCCGCTCACATCTGGTTACCTTTTCCCCACTTTTTCCACCCCTGCAACGCAGTAACCAGAAAACTCTTGGGTATCTGACCTTCATTTGAACCCGTTTTTCCTCACTTGAACTTCTTTTTCTTCATTCATGAGACTCGAAAGGAAGTGTACGTGATTGGTAGAACTATGGATAATGGGGTCTCCTTCGGTGGAGACAGAACAGACCTCACAAGAATGTGCGAACTTTAGACCTTGGCCCCTTTAGAAGTTTTACTTTAACTTAGGTTGTTCGCCAACACAGTAGTCCATTTTTGAAATGTGTTGCAATTAAACTGGAAGCAAGTACGTAACTCTTTTTTTTTTAAGTGAAGAATCTAGTTTTTTAAAAAGTGAGGTTACTTTAGGAAATGATAGGAGGAAAACACCAAAATGCCTCTCAATATTCCAGATAAAAACATAGTATACTTAGATAATGATTAAGCCACGAGTCTCCAGCAGCCAAATTGAAATTAATCTCCTATTAATCCAGGCAGAAATGATCATTATATTCTGCAAACTCCTGAAAAGTAGGAAAATCAGTTTTATCTCCTATCTGAGTAAAAAGCAGACTGGGGGGCTGGGAGGGGGGAGTAGTATTCTTTTAAACCAGTAGTTGCAAAATCCTTTAAAAATTAACCCAAAGGAAAGTGAGATTAAAAAACCAGATGAGGAAAAAAGTAGGACCATAGTAGAAATACAATCAGCTTTCTGTGGTTTAATGAGTTGACAGTTAGGCATATCAGGGACCAAGGTCCCAGAATTCCAGCTTAGGACCAAATTTCAGACAGATGCCAGGAAAAAGAGAAGTGGAATAAGAAGGCCTGAAGCTGACGCAACTGAACTTGATTTCATTTATGCTGAGAAAGGTCAAATTTTCACCCATTATCATTGAAAATATTTTTATCAGTTTTATTAAAGTATAATTTACATGTTATGGAATTTACCCATTTTGTTCATGCAATTCAGTGATTCTCAATACAGTTACAGAGTTATGCAACCATAACCACTAATTTCAGAACATTGCCCTCACCCCAGAAGGACCCCTTATTCCCATTTGTGGGGACTCCTAGTTCCCACCCTCAGCCCCAACAACTAAGTTACTTTCTGTCTCAGTAGACTAATAATCTGTCCTAGACTTTTCATATAAGTGGAATCTTACAGTGGGTGGTCTTTGTCTGCCTTCGTTCTCTTAGTATATCGTTTCTGAGGTTTATCCGTGTTGTAGTACGGGTCAGTTTCACTCATTATCACTGAGTAGTACTCGGTTGTATATTGGTGTGTCTACTCACCAGTTGGTGGGATTGTTTCAAGTTTTTGGCTATTATGAATAATGCTGCTATGAACATTTGTAAACATTATGTTATCATATATTTTCATTTCTCCTGAGCAGATGCCTAGGAATGAAATGTTCGGTGATCTGGTAAATTTATATTTAACTGTTAAAGATACTCTAAAACTTTTTTCCCAAAGTGACTGTGCCATTTTACATTCGCACTTGGAATGTTTGAAGGTTCATCATTAAAAATTTAATTTATGCTTTCATATTAAAATGGTAACCAAGAGAACCTCTACTCCCATTCTAGTTTATACACTCCCCCACCCCCATTTTTCTTTATGGAGGGATTACCACCCAAAGCCAAGGAATATCTATTACTGTAAACTCTTCACCTGAATTCTAGACACCTGAAGCCATTGTTGTCTAACAGCCCCTGTGGTGTCAGAGGGCTTTACCTTATGACAGGATAATGCACCTTCTGGCGACAAGGTGGGGCAGGCAGCCTTGCCCCATAGGACCCTGCTCTGGTGTTCAGACCCTGTGGAATACCCTCTACCTGCATATGAGCTGGACCTTGTGGCTTCTTTCTAACAAAAACAAAAAAGTAGGGGTTCTCACTTCCAAGATTATGTTACAGAATACTGTGGCTTTCGTTTCGGACTGCCCTGTCTCACGCACTTGCTTTGGAGGAAGACAGCTGCGACATTATGAGCGGCCTCTGGAGAGGCCCACATTGTGCAGAACCGAGTCTCCACCCACGGTGGTGAGGCCTTCCTACCTGCCGGCTGCCTACAGCCCTGGCAGTGAGGTTGGAAGCAGGTTGTTCCGCGATCAGCCCTGGATGTTACCCGGGCCCTGGTCGGTGCCCCGTAACTGGGTAGGCTTCATTAGAGACTCTGAACTAGAGATGCTCAGCTACACCACACCAGATTCCTAACTCCTTTGTTAATAAGTGTGGGGGTAATTTGTATGCTGCAATAGACGATTAATATAGATGACCCCCCAAAAAGTGACTTACTGTGATTTCCATGTGCATTCAGAATTCTTTAAAAACAAATGCTGAAGTCAGGAACTAATATTGTATCCAATAAACATTAAATTTTTGAGTGCCCCTCACCCCAAATGATTTGGGGGCACACATTTAAACAAAACCAAGAATCATTGGAGAGTGGTCATGGCAGGCAATGAGAAACACTGTCGTGAAAGAGTTCTCATATTAAATATTGCTACAATTTTACCTTCTAAAAATGCGGTGGCCATTTCAACCACGATTTCAGAAATGAAAAATAGTATCAAGTGAGAAACCATGTAAAGACATTCAAACTTGGGAATCTGGTGCTGTGGATTCTGCGCTTGCTTTCTGATTCTCAGTGACCCTTCCGTAGGCACGTGGCCCTCTAATTTTCATCACTTCAATGATTAATCAAGTCTGAGGATTTGGAGATGAAAAACTGATGTTGCCTTGCAAAGCAGAAATGCAGACAATGATGTGCTATCACTCAGTACAGCAGCACACACCCGATGATCCAGTATTTCCAGCAATTCATTTATCTGCAATCATTCCTCTTCAGCTCTCTTCATTTGATCATGTTTAATGTATGATGCTACATTATTCACTCAATACTCTTGATTTCGCTTTCAAAAGCATGAAAATTAATTCAAATCAAAACTAACACGCACTCCCCCCGCCCCATAAAAAAAAATCCATCCTCTTGAAGTTTTTGCAAAGACCAATCCTCATTAAAAAAAAAGAGAGAGAGAAAGCGCAGATGTAATTTCAAAAATAGGACCATGGCTAATTAAACCAGTGTTTTTTTCTAACCATGGTTACTCAGAATTCTTAGAGGCTAATCTATTTGTAGACACTCCAGGAATCCCAAAAGACTAAAAGGAGTTAAAAAAAAAGGGGGGGGGGATTGCTTCCAAGAGGCATTATTTATATACCTTGTATGCAAAGTAACAACTCGCACATAGGTTTGGAAAGAAAAAAAAAACTCGGAGGGTGTGTGGTAAAATAGTAGGGAACACAGCAACATTATTTGAAAAAGCTTTTAAATGAGCCCTTTCCTCCCCACAAGCACACTCCTGGTTGTTAAGTTGCTCATTTTGTCTTACCTTGTGGGACAGAATAACGATGTGGTGACATTATTCACAAGGCAGAAGCTGGATGCCAGCTGACATAGACACAGAAGAAAGAATTCTTTATTTTTCATTGGAAATGCTTGTGCTGTACAGAGCCAGAAATTTAAAGAAACTCAGTCTTTTTATTCTTCCTCTTTCTCCTTTTTGTTTTCATATGCCCCCTTTTCTGGGGTGAATTTTTTGGGCAGCCTTTGTGGGTGAATGTTGTTGTTTCAAGGGCCATAGATTTATGGAAAGCTTGGAGATGATGTGAAGTGTGCACCACTTGGAAAATGCGGGAGGAGATGTAAAATGGATGTGTGCGGCGCCGGTGACAGCTGAACTGTCAGCATGGGGTCTTGTTAGGTTTGCTACGGGATACCCGGAGCCCCTCAACAGAACCCCGGAGAGATCAGACTATGATTAATACTGACACTGCTGACCTATGATCTTAGAATAGGGTCTGGAGTCTTGTTCCGGAATGGAATCAGATATGGGCTGAACAACGCACCCTGTCTTGCTCAAGCCCACATTATTATCAAAACTATTTATTTTCCGTAAGGTAAGCCTTAGGGCTCAGGAATGATAATAATTGCAGACATTTCTATAGCATTTACTATGTACCAGCTCTGCGCTAAGTGCATTCTACACAATAACTCACTCACATAATCAGTCCTCACAGTAAGCCACTGATGTTCAATGGGAGGGGAGCATTTTGCCCCACCCTCAGAGGGCATTTAGTAATGTCTAGAGATATTTATATTTGTCACAATTGAAGGGGAACTACTACTGGCATCTTGTGGGTAAAGGCC